CACGAATGCCGTTCTCTGATTGGCTACACTACTCACTATCTATTCTGTGATAGATAGTGAGTAGCGTAGCGGTGTGCCCTTGTTAACAAAATGACGGTCGCTTCTTGGCGTTTTCGAAGTGTTTGTGAAGAGGATTTAGATAAAGTTTTGAAAGACTAGTAGATTTATACTATTTCTATTTTCTATTTCTATTTCTATGCTTGATAGTTGACTCGAGCTGCGCCCTCGTCATAGAAATTGGGAGCGAATAAGCTGATTGTTTAATATCTTTTTGTGCAATTGTAAATCTATGAGCAAATAAAGTAGTCGTTGTTGTTTTTATTTTACTATAATACAGTTTACAAAATGGTGCTGTTTACAAATTCGACGAAGGCAAAACTGTTCTGTATTTGGATGGCCAACGCGCCTATGCAGAGACACCGGCTGCCAACCTGCAATTTCCCGCGTTCACCATTACGTTCTGGCTGAAGGCACTGAGTACAGGTTATATCTACAGTGACTGGACGAAGCCGAAAAAGTTTACACTTTGGACACACCAATCGTATAAGAGGTTGGCGTTCCAGTTAAGGAATAATAAGGGAGAAAGCCTGCTGTCGTATTACGGTGGGTAAGTGCATGGATGCAAATAGTTAATGGATAGAACTCCAGACGTATTTCGGATTTAAATTAAAGAGACACTATCCCTCGGGGAAGGGAACTCCCGGGGGCATTCTACACAAAGTTTTACACGGGGAGTCTCCGCCCTGAGGTTCAACCCCATACTCTTTCGTGTATCACTTTGACAGAAAAGGTACCCCTTTCTTCACATACCTACTTTGGAACACTGCATCCTTTTTCTAAACCCTTGGAATGAAGTTAATAAACAACCACTACAGGAGGATATCAAGGTCTATCAGGAGAGAACCAGAAGAAACAAGTATCATTCATTCAGTTCAGGTTGTGGCAAGAGTCAAGGACAGATTTCCCTGTCCTTTCATATACCTCAACTTGTGAAATCCCTATCCTGTTATATACCTGAAGCCTGGAAAACGTGGTCCTTTCGGGTGTAACCTCCCCGTATAGGCCATTACATGGAGTAGCTCCCCCTCCCNCCCCCCCCCCCCTATTCCCGGGAGGGACCCACATGTGGAGGCCGGTCAGGGATGTTCGTCAGAAAATTAAATTAACTCCCTCAAGGAGACTAATCTGGGCGTTGGTTGGTTCTTTTCATTTGAATCCTAAAAGATAAAACTTAAGGACGGAAATTTATTCAGGTCCACCCTAAGAGATACTTTGACAGCGAAAAATAGTGCCGTTTCCTCGTGATAACCCAAGTGATCCCAAATAAACGGAAGACAAAACCCTATTATATCACAACAAAAATATAAATGATATCAAAGAGCAAAAGAAGGAAACCAGTAAAAGGTCATCGCAGGGAATTTCGTTGTAAGATGTTTTTATATTTGTTGTTTTTTGTAGAAAAATTCCTAGTAATGTTTGGGTGCACGTGGCAGCTGTGTGGAACGGAGAAGAACGGCTTGGTTCAACTTTCTTCGACGGTAGGCCAAGAGGTCGTCATTACGTTAAAGACGGGAAATCTAGCTACAGAGCCATGAATAACTCACACAGTGTTTACATCATAGGAGCTCAAAGCAAGACCAAGGCTGCGTCGGGAGACAAAAATCTGCATGGATTTATCAAAGAGCTGAAGGTTTTCAAGAGAGCTTTAAACCAAAGTGAAATACTGACGGAGGCAAATTTGTCTAACGCAAGTGGTACGTTTGACTGTTTCTCGTATTAATTCCTTATTCTTTATTTGTTCTTTATTTTTTATAATAATCACGATTATTGGATTACGGATTCACAGTAGCTGGCTTATTCCAGAGCTACGTGGCCGGAAGCTTTGAATTTTTATAAATTAAAAGAATATCACTTGCCATTCAGATCGAAAATTCAATTTCCTTCGAGGATAAACTCGAAGCCAAAAGATTTAGACTATCAGACCCAAAGCGCCTTTTGGGAAAATCTTTCTATAAATATAGTAAGTAAAATTTTTAACTTTAAAGTTGTATGACAAAAAGGAAATCGTAATTTGGATCGATGTATTTGGCTGGAAAGGTATTCTTGTCATGGAAATGTTTTGCGTTAAGCCATAATCAAGTTAGCCAAATTAGTTACAAGTCACAAATGTTTGAGGCCGGGTTATTACAATTAAAAAAATATCGGGAATCTGGTCCATAGGGCAAGGGGAGCAGACGATATATTTTCCGGTTTTTTTTAAGTTTATATCAGTCTTCATCTTCTCCCTCTGGGGTAAGAATCAGTTTTGAATTAACTATTTATTTATCTATCTATTTATTTATTTATTTATTTATTATCATTACATTATTTATTATTTCACCAATGGTTGCAACACGAATCCGACGTTCCTCTGTGGTTTTGCCGTAAACTAATTAAGCTGTTTTTAATTACAATGGAAATCCCTTGATTCTTTCCAGATTGGTCCGTTGCATGGACAGGCCTAAACGACATTTCGACTGAAAAAGAATATGTCTGGAGCAATGGAAACGTTGCTGTATTCACAAACTGGGAACCGGGACAACCGAGCGTTAATTCGACCGATGGAGACTGCGTGGTTATCGGTGGAGGGAATGGTACTAGTCGAGAAACATGGAAAGAGACAAACTGCGATGTGCAGTCGAACTTTGTTTGTGAGAAAACATGAACTCATCACAAAACACTATGCCGGAGAAATTTGGAAACGCAGCTTTATTTTTACAGTTAGGTTTACTGTCCACCCTAATCCGCCACGAAAACGGAGCTTTTCGAAAATAAACGCTCTTCAAACCGGAGGAATTTGAAAACGCCGGCTTTGCGTTCTAGTGTGAAAGGAAAATATTTTAATTTTGAAAACGGAGCTTTTCGAAAAAGACGGCGTTACGATAATCACGTGATTTCCCAGCCCGAGTTTTCCTCAAACACAAATCTAAAACGACCGGTGATTGTTGCGTTTTCAAACTTTTCCGGCGTGGTGTGGACAGAAAGCATTCTAGTAGCTATAACGGGGTATATTTATATTTAGGTGTAAGATAAATTGCAATCTCCAGAGTATCAGTGAAGGGAAGAGGATGAAATCTGAACAAGGATTTTCCGCTCATTGTAATTATATGAAAGAAATCTCGGTAGCTGATTAATTTACACTGTGACAACTCAAATGAAATGAAATTAAATCAAATTAAATTTATGTGGTATTGTTTATAATGAACAATTATGCTGTACATGTAAAGGTAGTGAAATCTTAGTGCTTTATCCTCTGACATGAAAGCTATTGAGCAATACTTTCCCTTGGTATCTGCGCTATTAATTATGCTGTACAACGTGACTATCATTCGACTGCAAATTAAATCTAATATTAAGAAGTAAGAATCGCTAGGAAATAGGAATTATCAAGAAATTCTGATTGTCATTGTTGAACAAAAGTCTTTGCCTTTTATATTAATGACTCTCTATCATTCGCTTATAATGTCTCGATCTAGCGTCTGGTGCGCCGATTTACTTTTAGTAGCTCAAGGAGGGTGCTAATAAGTTAAACTGAGGGCTCTTACTAGGGGTGGGGCTTTCCTTTCCTTCTTATTGGCATGCACATGTGCCGAAAATCAGAATTTGATTTGGCACTTTAATGAACAACAGTAGAACACAACAGAACTTGTAAATTTTGTCGTAGGTTTTATAATTTTATTTTACTACGTACACTGTAAAGCGCTTTTGAGCATTTATAGAAAAAGCGCCATATTAATGGCTATTATTATCATCATTATCATCATCATCATCATCATTATTATTATTATTATCATTATTATACAAAACTGTGGCTTAAGAACTGTAACATTACGGTTTGGCATAATCATACGTAGACCTTTCCAAAAACATCCGGATATTTTAGGGATATTTGAAAATCTCCGAGATATTTAGAAAATGCAGGGATATTTAAAAATATTCATAGCTTTTTCTGGCTTGCCGTGTGATTTCCTGGCTATCTCTTGATACAATCCTCTGTTCTATGCAAGAAACAATCCAGTTCAGTGATTTTCTACTCAAAAAATGTATTTCATATCACTGACAGGGCTAAAGTAGCAATTTTTTAAAATGGCGGATGCTGGTTACATCGAAGTGCCTGAATCGTCTTCCTCGAGCTCAACTCCTACTACTCCCGAAAATGTTGCTCTACGTGATTAAAAATCAGTGTATTTTTACAACAAAAATGGGAGAAATTTAGAAAAATTTTCGAGATATTTAGAAAAAAGTTTTGTGATATATTTAGAAGATTTTTGAAAATTTCCAGAAAGATACAAGTTAGGCATGCAATTCAGTGAAATTCAGTGAAAATTCAGCGAAAGGTCTAGTCATAAGACTTAGGTGCTAAACATTACGCAAAGTACATAATGTCACTTTCGCAGAGGGGCACTTATTGAAGCAGGCATGCATATTAGAAAACGGTGCTCAAAGGGGAACGCTCATTAAAAAGAGGCTCTTTACTGGAATTAGCGCGCTAAATCACCCATTTTTCTCTGTTGCATGAAATATCAATGAATTCAGCCAATCATTTAGAAATATCTTTCAACTACCTTATTACACCAAATTGTTGCAAAACTAGCACTTCTCTTGATGTTAAAAATGATCCTCCGAATTTACCAAAACTATCGGGTGATAAGCGTCAAGTATAACTTTACGATCTATTGTTCCATAGGGTGACCTTGAAAACATTTAAGTAATAAACATTCCACTTTACACTGTTATACATTGTTCGTGTCGTTACTCTTGTTAAAATGTTTGCTTCCACACAAGCGTAAGTGATTTTATGATGACTTTTTTCACTAGATAGTAATATATGAAACACGAAAGAACGTGTTTGACCACATTTCCAAAAACCGAGAATAGAGTTGAAAATAAGACGCGCACCGGAGTATTTTTGACGAGCTTCGAGGTGTTTGGAAATGTGGTCTACACGGTCATGGGTGTTTTATATATCTTCTCTATCGAAACTAAAACTAAGGAGAAAATGTAGAAACAAAATCGCAGAAATCTGTGCTAATTAAGGTCGGATATCCAAACACCGCCACGATCATGATTTCCTTTCTTTAAACTTGATGAGTTATTAATGAGTTTGCGAAGTCTAGATGACGTTTCTTTTCTTCCACGATGTGGGAGTCACGTCTACTCTTTATTTGCGTATGGTTACCTTTCCGTTTGTTCTGTTTCCGACCAATAATTATAACTTGTTCTGCTTAGAGACTTGGGAGGATAAAAGGCTAATCAGTTTTCTCTCGGACAGTTATGTGCCCGTTATTTGTAACTCTGGCGAAGTCTTTTTAAGTCTGGCGAAGGAGACAAAGGGTTTAGCTCTAGTGCTTTTCGCCGAGTTTTCGCGCCTCGAAGGGAGAGCTGATTTGATTGCTATCAACGTCTACTGTCAGTAGAATTTCTTCTGGAAACGTCAACTTCCTCCATTGCCTCTAGCAATGATGCCATGACTGCTTAACTGTGATTACATCTGCCAATGCAACTACACTCACAAGCTGTATTTGGCTCAAACTGTTTTCCAACACACAAACTCATTTTGGTCGTCACACCGTTTGACTTTCCATTGACTCTGATAAATTCCATCCCCTGTAACCATGACAACACAATCTTCATCACCAGCTAGCGAGCTTGGCTGCCCTGGAGACCAGTTGTTGAATGACGCAGCGCGTCCGTTTCCATGGTTACTCCAGACATAGTTTCCCTCCGATGAAATGTCGTTTAGACCGAGCCACACTCCAGACTGGGTGTTCTGCGGCGTTTGCGCTGTGAATAAAACAATGAATGCATGCTTTTGTTTATATAGAACGACAAAGTGGTAAAACGATTGCAATAACGTAACCAGAAAATCAATGTTTTGAAGTATTTTTTTTCAGGAGTTTTCTCTCGTCTGTCTGTCTGTCTGTCTGTCTGTCTGTCTATTTGCATAGGCGTACGTGGTGGGGGAGCGAGGGAGGCTGCAGCCCCCCCAGCTACGAAAATTACGTAATTTTTCGGGCAAAACGCTTATGATTCGGGCAACGACACTTGAGAGAAAATATTACAAAATAATGCTGTTGGCTTGATTTCCAAAACTCTCAAAAAGGGTTCCTAATTTTATGTCTCTCTGTGTTATTAGACGCCCGACCGGGGGTTCTGTAGGCCGTCGAGTGGTTTCTTAAAAGAGTTGCTACCTAAAGTAGGTACCATTTGTATCTGCTGCTGATCTGAATTATCGTTGCGCACCGAAGACGCCATGGTAATCAGTCGGGAAATCAGCCTTTCTTTTCCCTTCCGGCCTTTCCTTTTAGGTTTCAAGGCTTAGCTACTTTCTCTGACATTTGCCTTGCAAAAAATGACTTAGACTGAAATTATTTGAGTGACCTGGGGTTTTCTGTTAGCTATAAGTCGGTTAAATGTGTATCGTGGAAATCCACGGTGAGGATATTATTTTCTTTCTCAATTTTCCATCGACAAAACAAGGACACGAATTAAAGCGAACGAAGACCAAGCCTTTTGTTTTCCTGAAAGCTCTGAAAAGAGCCGTTTGGAATGTCATAACAATGAGGTGTTTAAATTTTTTCTTGAAACTTTCTGTGGAGGTGTTTCTCTAGTATGTCCATGTTGTTTACTATCTTATTTACGCGACTTCTGAATTCATGGAAGGCTTGCAGTGTACGCTGCAAGTCTGCTGTGGCCAAAACAAGAAGGACTTCTAACAATGCCTCGTGTTGTTCTTTGAACATATCCTATCGTCTCGACGATAGGATAGCTTCTGTAATGGTCGTCCAAACGGCCCATGTCTCTATTACTGATCAGCCGATCGCTGAAAGAGCGCCGTAAAAAGAAATTTTTTTTTCTTTTCATAAGTTTTAAATTTTAATAGATTGAGCCTGTTGATAGAGGTCATTGAGTATGCAACCTTTCAATATAACTATCTTTGTGAACGTTTTTGTTTTTCACGCATTTTGAGTGCGTTTACATCCCGATTTCAACACTCACGCATTCGGGCATTGCGCAATTTTTTCGGGTAAGAAAGTCACCGCCCCCCACATCCGAAAGTGCCCACACGCCTTCGTCTATTTGTCTGTCTTCTCTCTGTCTGAACAGCTTTTTGTGCTTTTCATAGTTCTCAATGGCAGTTTTACGTGTTTCTCGCAGTCTTTTCATTTGCTTCTCTCAAGATTTAACATCTCTCAGGGTTTTCGAGCAGGGTTTTCTCAAGATTTTCACATGGTGTTCAGACGATTCTCACATGGCTCTCACTCCAGTTTACTACGTCTACACGTATCTTTCTCTAAGCATTACTCTGCACACGAAGTCATTTTTAACTCAAAAGAGAAAGTAGCTTTAACCCGGAAAAAGGTACATGTACGTAGGTAAATTAACCTGGTCACGTGACTGAGGACAACTCAAGATGTTCTTGGCAAAACCTTTTCTTTTCACATATTGTATGGTCAGTACTTTCTCCAGACCAGAATGACACTTCCTATTACTGATCAGAAGGGTAACCTATGAGGGTCTCAATGGGGTAAACCGTCCATAGTCAAATTAAATTACCAAAAAATTAATCGTCAACCATCAAAAACGCAATAGCCGTCAAATGTCTCAGATATCCTTAATTAATAACTAAACGATTGAGTTAAATGGGGTAAGGTTATGCTGTTTATAAATGATCGTTCTACTATATCACAGAAGTACATTTATGTGTAAGTCCTTTAACTTCTAGTCGTCAGAGCAGGCGATTGGTACGTCCAGCGGTAACGAAGGTGATCTAATTACGCTCAGAATTAGACACATATTTGAGGACTAAAACCGTATTAATGCACAAATTATAGGACTAATTGGATTATTCAAGTATGGGCAAAATTGAATCATTTTATGGCACATTACAGTTAAATTTGCGTTTTAATTTCATGTTACAAATGTCATTCCGAAAAAATTAACCGTCAAGCACCAAACGACCTAAAATTTAACCGTCAACCGTCAAAGGAACGGCCTCCTCTTATTGACACCCCCTAGTAAGGAAACCTACCTGCTTCTTGCTTGATTTCATTGGCGGTCAGCAGCCTTTTAAACACCTTGAGGTCTCTCACAAAGCCATAGAATGTTTCTGAAGAGTCCTTTTTCATTCCAACTTGATAGTACGTGTGAGAATTGCTCATAATTTCATAGCTCGATAAACCTGCGTTAGCTGCCTTGCTCGCAGACTCTACCCCATCGATGAATATCTTAGCAATACGGCTGACTTGAGACCACGTGACAGCCACGTGTACCCAGACGTTGTAAGAGATTGCTCTAAAGAAAATAGAAAATATAGATAACGCAATGATTAGTACCACTTTTAGCATGTCCATGAATATGATTTATTATATGGCTAGCTCCGTGAGAGAGCAAGATAAACCAAATCCTGCGCTGTGATTGACTACCCGATCGGGCACGGGCAAGATGGCTCTATCTCGCCCGCTCGGGACTACCCGCTGTCTCCCGCAATTGGTCAATTCATCATTGACCAAGCTTGTTTGGTCAGGATGGCTGGATATTGGCCTCGTTCTGTTTTAGCGATTTTACGGACCTCGACTCCGTCTCGGTCCATAAACACGTGAGAAAAGAACGAGGCCAATATCTAGCCATCCTGACCTCATGCTTGGTCGATAACCCATATGTATTCCCCTCTGTTTCCTATACCTTTAAGTTTTCAAAATTATTTAGTAAAAAAGATGAAAAAATTTTAGTATTATAGGTGAACTAACCGGTGGGGATTTGTTCAGTTGAGGAAATCAATTCAAATTTTTTCGTATATTGAAGAATATGACAAAAATGATAAATGTGGCTTTTTAGGTTTTTCAATTGCAAGTTCAAAACTCACGTATACATGGCCAATACGCTTTTTCCGTTCTTGTTTCTAAACTGGAAATAGATGACCTTCCAATCACCGTGAACCCAAATGGAAAACTGATGCGGTGCTGACCAGTCAGCGTAGATGTAGCCTGGTGTTTTGGCGGGCTCTAAGACCTTCACCCAGCACGTGATCGTAAATGCGGGAAATGGAAGACTGACGGCTGGCGTGTCAGCGTACGCTCCATTGCCGTCCATGTACAACGCTCTGACTCCGTCTTCGTATTGATAAGATGCTCCACCTTTCGGTCTGAAATATTAAAAAATAGTATAAATCTACTAGCGTTCTATCACAAATGCCGTTCGCTCAATCAAAGTAGCTGTGGGTTCATGAAGCAATAGCCGAGTGGATCCGCAGACTACTTTGACAATGTTATGGCGAAATTCATTGTCAATAACAGGACAGAAACATGGAAAACTGACGTCAATTTGTTTTTCACGATGAGAAATTGTCCAATCTCGCTCGTTGACGCATCGCATAAATTATAAATTTATGTGTTTGTTCGCTTATTGACAATGAAAATTAGTCGATGATCGAGCGCGCGAGAACTTCTACGGTTGTCGTAAAAAGAAATCTCGAGCTCATAATCAAATTGTTAATTTTTTAACGTTTTCCACCAGCAAAATGACTAAATATCCAAGGGCATAACTAGTTCCTTCAAAGGACATTAGAGCTCTGGATAATTTATTCCCACAAAAACTGAGGGTCAAAGTTATCACTAAAGTGTTAACACTGAACATACATCACGTCAGTGTCAGAGCTGTCAAGAAGCCAGCAGCCAATCAAGTCATCTGTTGTGACACACCCTGCAAATTTGAGAGGAATACGTGAGGTGTGACAAATAGTTGACTTTCTCTTATTTTAAAATTTTGAAAATTGTGACAAATACGTTTAATTCTATAAACATACCAACTTTTGTTTTTACATGTTGCAACAGGTTTCTATAAACAAACTCGTTTATTTCTTGATTTGGGATGTAAGCTAACTCAGCATCGATGGAAACGCAAAATTCTTTTGCCCTCTGCCAAGTTCTCTTCACAGGAAAATACTTGTAGAGATTATTTTCTTGACGGTACCATCCATCTGGATAAACTACAAGCACAAAAAACATCAATAGTGGAATAGTGGCACAGGTAATTGTTCGTTTTTCCTAAATTAATCTTCTGACTATCCGCGTTCTCAGTTAATAGGCCAAATTTGTATTCCCGGTATTAGACTGAAAGCTGAGCTTGGAACTGAGGCTGAGAATTGAGAATCTTGATCTTTTTATTGAATCTCTTTTTAACCGCCTGAGCCTCCATTCCAAGCTAGTTCCAATCCAATACCGAGTATACGAATATGACCCATTCTTCTTGGCTTCAACTTAAAAGAAGACCTGAAGCATTCCAGCACTAATGACCTAAGTAACTCTTCTTAAATATGTCGTTTAGTTACTCTTTCTCTTATTGGCTGGTGAATCGATTTGAATTTTACCGCGCAAGTAACAACCAATCAGAGACGCTATGTGAATCTTTGTCTAACTACGTCATTAGTGTGGAATTTTTCTGGGCCATTATCATGAAGAACTAGGATTGAGCAGTGGAGAAGAGATGTCTGTGTAAGCCGTAGTTACTGAGTCCTTAAAAGGCCTGGATTCCCGCGTAACATAATATACTGTAGGCAAAGTGATAAATAAGCCACTTACTAGCTCTTCTAAAATATGAATCACTTCCTGAATGGTAGATTTCCAGCTACAAAGAAAAACAAATGATATCATAAGGTGAAAGTCATATTTCAGCTAGTTCCGCTCCGTTTTGCCTTCTGTTTTGCATTCTGCTTTGTATCTCGCTTCACGTTCTGTCTGCTCTTTTTCGTTCCCTTTTCCACTCCGCTTTCCGTTCCGTTTTCACTTTTTTTTTTTTTCGTTTTGCGCTTCTTTTTGTGTCGCTCTACACGTTCGTTTTACGTTCTATTTCGTTTTCTGCTTTGCGCTCAGCTCTTCAGTATACGTTTTGCGTTCCGCGTTCCATTCCGTTTTGCATTCTCTATTGCTTTCAATTTTCTTTTTGTCCTCTTTGTGCATTGTAAGCAGGTTAAGTCACTAAGTCAACAGGGGCGGAAAATTTAAAGGAACGCAGACAGAAAATTTCGTCAGGCGCCTTAATAGTTACTTCCGAGCAAAACTTACCGTAAACCCTCTGTATTCATACCCAGGCTTTTTAATCAATTTTCTAGGCTCGACATCTTTGGTGGAATTATTCGATTCACACAAGTATGAACCTGGTTTTATCTGACAAGATAAATGACGGAAACACTTTTAGAACACACAGCGCTCGGAACAACAAGTACAGATTAAAAGATAGTACTTATGAGATGGATTTCTCTTGCTAAGTGTTAAATATAAGAGAGGACAAATGGTTATATATAAGAGAGTTAATTAACAATTAGACCCGTAGCCCGCAAGGGCTACGGGTCAATAGCCCATGAGGCGAAGCCGAATGGGTTTTATATTGACCCGTGGCCCTTGAGGGCGAAGGGTCTAATTGTTTTAGTATCACCCAACTAGTCGGNATTTCGCTACTCGAGGACTATTACTAATAGTCCTCTAGTAGCGTAGCCAATCAAAATGCAGGATTTGCATTAGTCCACTAGTTGGGTGATACTAATTCCCAATACATACCTTATTCTCCTCTGAGGATATGATAAGACATATCCGGTTCGATGTTTGATTTGTTTTTTACCACAATATCAACGTCGAAGAAAATGTTTGTTTTTTTCAGAGCGCGACCAAGAGCCTGACAAATTGACACGAGCAGCATTATCTGGACTCTTATCGACAACGGCAAATTAGGCAATCAGATTGCGAGATTAGTAGCAATCGTGGTAAAAATTTCCTTTGACTAAAAGAATGAACGAAAGATCTATGGTGTCACCACCAGAGCAGCCCGCATTACGTCATGTAAGACGGTGCAGCTTACTGCAGACATCCAGTTACTCTGCGGTTCGGAATCCTATATCCTTGAATCTGATTGGCTAATCGCGCATGCTCCAGTGGTCAGGATTTTCCCATCCGGACCTCGAGTGCGGAGCGCTCCGAAATTTCCAACTTTGGCAAATTTTCAAGTTTTTTGTTACATTGTAAAACAAAGTCAACATTCAACACAGAGTCAAACAAGTATGCAAACAGTATCACTTTGTGTGCCCGAACTGTCAAACACACGCGTACGCCAGATTTAAACTGAACGGTTTTATTAAAAATTCAACACAAAAGTTGCTTTCAAAGGGACACCGAAGAGAAAAATAAAAATAAACACGTTCTTTGCCGGCCTTGGTCGGTCCTTATTGGGAAAAAAACTGTGCCCTCAGTCTTGAGTAAGCATTTTTTTTTCCAAATAAGGACCTCCCCGCCGGCTAATAACTCCTTTTTCATGTAAGAATATTGTTTTTCCGGCCCAGGCTGAATATTCTTATTTTTCTGCCGATTACAGGATTAAAATATTGTTGTGAATATTCTTAGATTATAGTAATAACGTCAAATTATCTGTTCTATCATAACTTTGATGGCGTTGGAGTAATTTTTGAGCCAGTCTGCAGGCAACAGAAGCCTGATCTGACACAGAGCGTCTTGCAGAAATGTTATTGGATCAAACATATAGCTGGTGCTATTTTTGTGGGGTTTTTTGGCTGGTTTTGTCGTTCAGGGCTAGGAGAATTTTATACAGTTCAGTTAAAAACATATAACTCTATTGTACTTACAAAAAAATATATATTATTTTCAAAATCTCAGCCTCGGGTTTCTTTTTAAAATATTCTTAAAGTTTGTACATTTCAGCCTCGATATTCTTATAAAGTATACTGTTATAAAAAAGAAATAATGTATATCTCTTACATATAGCTAATTTACTTTCGTTAGACAAATAGACAAAAATATAACAACGGTGTGTGTTACCTTTCTCACATTGACAGAGAAACAATTCACTGTAGTTCTACAATGCCACAAACAGTCATCTGGATACAACGAACTTGTTTCAATCACGTGACCATCCAAAGCAAAACCAATTTCTCTGTGAAACGGAACTGACTTGCACTGTTGTGTGAAACTGTGTACGAAAGTTCTTGTGACGAAAATACAAATGTACAAGTGCTGCCAAAAAGTCTTCATGTCTGCAAAGCAAACACTGAATACTAAGTTTGCAAGTTTCACTACGGTAATTAAATTTCACATAGATTTATGGCTGGGATTAAATTTTATCCTATTCAACAGTCTTGCAAGGAAAAGCTGATAACAGATGTTTTTAAATGAATCAACACAAAAACAGATAAAATCGTCAATAGAGAGGAAGAAGAACTTGGCTCTATGCTTTATTTTACTTATTCATTTTATAGTGGTCTCCAAAGCATTTTTTTTTTATATTACACAATAAGCTCTAAATCTGATCTGACCAGATTTTTGAGTCCGCCTTTTTCCATTTTTCCGACTTGCGTTAATCACAGTCCCAAATAAATATTCAGATTACAATTAGAAATACGACTAAGATAGTTTTGCCAAATTTAAAAAGTACGCCCCTGACTGGTTTATTTAACTTTCGCGAGAAGAGAAAATGACATCGTTCTGAAAAAAGAAAAGCGAAAACAACTCTTTTTTAAGGAGGGAGCATTGTACATAAATTAAAGTATCTAATACAATAGTTTCAATTTTCGCCTAATTAATGCAACAAACGTCGAAAAAACATCAGATGGCGTACATATCGTGATTTCGCAAAACTAAATTAAAACTGCGTCTCACATCTGTCAACAGCTTGACAACTGTGAGCAAAAAGAATACATATTTTCCGGCAGACTGTTAACTATATCCGCCCTCTGTTTCACCCATCAAAGCGAGCGCCATTTACCAACTGCATTAAAAGAATAAAAATATATAGCTCCTTGTTTGCTTCTTATCTTAGAATTCAACCTATCCTGCACGGTTTAGCTAATGAAACGTTATGAAATTTTCGACTTATAACAGTCTGGACATCTTGTTTTTCATTAACGGTAAAAGTCGCAAAGTACTTTTGTCGCTCCTTCTTTGGAAGATGGCAGTTTGCTTACCACAAAAAAAGTCTGTAATATTCATTCCATGTCTTATTCGCCCAACAAGGATTTCTTTCCTTTCTATAGAATAACTGACCTTCTTGAAACTAAAAAATAATGTAATTATTTCTTACGACGTAGAGGAAGATGGAAAACAAATATTTTTCCATATTGCAAATCACCTGCCACACATTTTGAACGTGTCATTGCGCAAAAAATCCATCTTACTATGTTCTATGACTTGAATTGTATACAAAATGTGACCAGCACCTTGGTCTGAGACTAAACAAAGCCATGCAAAAATAGCAAAAGAGTTTCGTCAAGAAGATTCAAGCCAATACTTACTTAGACTGGCCAGTTCGCGATCCTTGTGAATACTGAATTTAAGATGCTCTGAAACATAATTATGCACCTTTAAGAGTGCTTGCTACAATATTACCTGGGCAACATTAGACGGTACAGGATATCAAAATGCAAGCGAGACAAAAAGGCGCTAAAAGATCGCTTCCATTGATGATTCACCAGTGAAATAAAAAATTCATTTACTCTTCTTTTGTTCTCGCGAAATGATATTTAGCTATTGACAGAAAAAAATTAAAAAACTGCTTCCTTTTCGCTATTTTATAATCAATGAGACCAGTACAGTCGGTAACTACGTGTTCAACAATGATTGTACCAACAGGTGATAAAGAGTGGTTCAACCGCCATTTTGGAAAATTGCTGCTTTAGAGGTTTTAGTGACGCGTATATATTTTTCAAGGGGAAAGTCATTGAACTGAATTGTTTCTATCATAGAACTGAGTATATTGCTTTAAGAATATAGCAAAAATAACACTGTCCTTTACAGACAGTGAGATTGTTTAATGTAAATACACCCTAACTGACAATTGTTTCATGGCATTTTCCTTTTTAGCTAGACCCGTTTTTTCTTTCCTTGACTGGTAAAATTAAAAACTGTCAAGGGTTAGTCAAAACAAGACAAATTTCTTAGACGTTATTTCCGAATGATAATTGTTTTGAACCATTGTCACTCTCAAACTTATTGTAATTTTTCAACGCACTTTCAAAATATTTCGCTTACAGACGGACAAGAGTAGACTGTTGCTTTTTAATACTTTTAATTTTCTGGGACGTTAAAGGAGAAGGGAGAGGAGAACTGAACGGGGATTAAAATTTTAAAACAAGAAAGGTACTCGTAAAATGCACTCAATCGACAGTAGGGAAGCTCTTTGTAGTAGAAATATTTCAATAATTAAAATTTTGCCGGAGTGAGATGGCGATAGCTCTAAGCACTTAAACATTGCCAAAAGTTGCGTCTTATCATGCTTGTCAAAATTTGATAATATAAAAAAAAAATTCATCCTGCCGTGTTTTAATTATAAGCCCCTGAAGCTGCAATTAAGGTGTTTTTAGCAGGTCATACTATTGCTATGGTAACCTACTGTGTCACGAAAGCGATAACTACGAGTTCACCAATGATTGGTCAGTTTTTTGATAGTATGATTGTACCAACAGGTGATAAAGAGTGGTTCAACCGCCATTTTGGAAAATTGCTGCTTCAGAGGTTTTAGTGATGCGTAATAAATTTTTCAAGGGGAAAGTCACTGAACTGAATTGTTTCTATCATAGAACTGAGTATATTGCTTTAAGAATATAGCAAAAATAACACAGGGCTACACCAAAAACGCAATAAATATTTCGAAATATCCCTAAATTTTCGAAATATCTTAGCTTCTCTGAATATCTCAGAAATTTCTAAGGGCCCATCATTAAACCTTTTGTTTGGTGACGTTTTCGTTGCTGTTGTCGTCGTGGTTTGCTTAAGTTCTATCAAGAAGATATGCTTGAGCGTGACTGCGTTCTCGCTTAGTTAGTTCCCTTTTGAAAAGGTTAACAACCATTTTTGAGCTGACTCTTTGTCTAGACAAATAACTAAGATAAGCGGAAAGATACCTGGCTCTGGCAAATAAGAAGCTCTAAGATTTTAGAACTGAGCCTCAAAGTAAATATTTAGCGTTGAAATCGAATTCACTTTGAAAACCTTTCCATGAATTTATCTGCAAAGAGGAAAATTCATCATTTACCGCGTTAATTCTGAATACCAATTAGGCAACAATGTGGGAATAGCTAGTGCTGGAAAAAACTGATTCTGATGAGAAAATAATCAAGAGAACGTTTTCAGCGAAAATATGTATCAATTAAATAATACCTGAAAAAAGTTAAAATTGACTAGTGAATCAGACATGAGACTTGGTCTTCTAAGCGTGAACTGTAACTTCCTCTTGTGGTAAACACTACACAAAATAAATTCCAGCTAAGGACTAATATATATTAAAACATATACGATACCTTTCTAATGGGGGAATATTGAGTATTTGGTGATTTTGGCTAATTTTACCTGTTATGTTGTGTTTTTCTTGGATGTAAACGCTGAAGGTTTAAACTTAACAGCCTTCCTGCTGGGTAATTTTTTCTTCCGGTGATGAGGACTAAGTGAGCACAGACAGTTTGTTTAATGTAAATATTTAACCGTAACTTATAAATAGTTAATGCAATTTTTCATTTTTAGATCCGTTTTTCTCTCAAAACTGCTTATCTTATAAACTATCAATGGTTAGCCCAAATAATGAAATTTTCTTAGACGCTTTTTCTAAAATGTTAAATGTTTTGAAAACCCGTTGTCATTCTCAAACTTATCGGTTTTTTTCAACGCCTTTTCAAAATATATGGCTTACAGCCACGTGTAGACTGTTCTCAGCCTCTCCAGTTTTCAACGCACGCGAAATTAAGAAAAAAACGAACTAAGCGAACGCGAGCGCGAAACTCAGTCCCGACCCCCTGCCCCGTCAAGTATCCTGTTTTAGGCTAGCGTCGAGTTCTCTCGCGATTTTATCCGCGCGTTCAACGAGCGAATAAAAATACAAGAAAATAGAGGTCAGCGAACAGTCTTAGTGAAGTGAGAGTAAATTCAGTGTTAGTTGTAGAATTCGAACTGTGTATGTCTGCAACTCGGAATGTGTAGAAATGACCTCTGAGACAACAGGGAAATTATTGTAATTAGCCTGTCAAGCCAGGCTAGGACCATGTGTCCCTACGTGTTTCAATTATCCTGATGCGAAGAAAGATGGAATAATCCACCCAACAAAATTCCACACAATGAGCCAAGCAGGCTGCATAGTTGTATATTTAAAACTTTGAAATTGTAACCTAAATCAGACGTTTGAGGCCTGTAGAAAATTATTCTGTCGTACTTTCGTTGTTATATTTTGCTTTTTTGATGTTTTTTTTTTTTCAAATATGCATGGGAACTCGCATGTTAGCTGAAACGCAGATGTTTTGCAAGCGCTCTACGGGACGTCAGAATGTATTTACAGAATCAAAAATCTACACTTTCTTTTTCTGTTGCCTCGTCCATCTTCCTGTTCTTTTTAGAATGATTGGGGAGATTAAAGTGTCTCGCGATGACGACTAGGCGACCGATTCCGAGAACACCTTCGTGACGTAGAGAAAGACGACAAAAACGCATCTAAACCGGTCGAGAGACACTTTAATCTCCCCAATCATTCTAAGCAACATATGGCAGTCTGCGGCCTTTCCCTACATCAAGGAAGCATGGAAAGCCGCAAAACGCTAGCACAAAAATTTATTTTTTAAATTAGCACTCTTAATCCTCACGGTATCAACGAACGCTTTTCATTCAACAAATTTATTCTGTTGTTTTTCACGTTACCATGCACCAACCAATAGCGTAGCTCCATCTTTCTATATATAAAAGCACACACAGCCCACAATTCCTCGATTCACTCCGACGAAAGGCTAACGCTCGAAACGTCAGCTTTCGAATCTCAGAGACGATCCAAGCAATTGAGAGCGATAAGGCTCCTATGAGCCGAAAGCGCGCGGTCAAGGCCTAGGCCCGACAACAATCATTTTGGCGCCAGATGGAACACTATTTACAGCGGTCTTACCCAAGCGAGTATAAGAGGTATCGCTGACATACATTCATTATTATTTCGATAGAAGACTCGAGCAGTTGTGCCTAGTTCGGCTCATCAAGTTCAAGAGCAAACCTCTTGAAGAGAATGTCGAGCAAAACATGGCTCCGGCCGAGTTATTCACCGTAGGATAACCCTAAACAGCTAGAGGTAACTTTTGCC